CTCTCTGCCTCTCTCTGCCTCTCTCTGCCTCTCTCTGCCTCTCTCTGCCCCTCTACCCCTTTGCCTCTGCCTGTGCCTCTCTGCTTCCCTGTGTTTCTGAGCCTATGGGCCTCTGCACCACTGCCTCTGCTGGGATTAAACCCATGGGCCAACACCACCCAACTGCCTTGTTACATTTCAAAAGACACCAAAGTATAAAGGAACCAGAACAGCACCTTATTGTGGAATAAAACTCAGTAAGAAGAAAAGAACTCAAAATAGGCCCATGCATTTAAGAGCTGGATAGGATTAAGCAGTTTTCAAATGAATTAAGATTCAATGATCAGCAAATCATATCATGCTTAACTATTCCTGTTGGCTTAAAGATTACATTGTGGAGTTGTTTGTTTGAGACAGTCTTGCTATATAATCCTTGCTGGTCTCTGTCTCCCAAGTGCTAGGATTAAAGGCCTATGTTTCTCCCAGCTTCGTTTTGAATTTTTGGCCTCTATGTTTTTGAACAAACTAAGCTTAAAATAACTAATTACAGTAACAATAGGAAACTAACATATATATTGAGCACTTCACCCAATGTGAGCAAATTTACATTCCTTTACAGTACACTCTGATCACTAATAAGCTGGATTATATTCTGAATAAAAGAAAAGTCAAAATGAATCTTAATAAATTTAAAGAGGTTCAAGTCAGGAGAAGTATGTTCTCTGACTATATGTTCGCTCACTACCTGGAACATGACGATTGTTTAATGAACCTTCATGTATGTTGAAACTTATCCAATTAGAGTTGGCTCTCTCCATCTGTGGATTCAATCAACTGTAGATAAAATACATTCAAAGAACAAGCAGAGATATTGGTCTTGTCACTATTCCCTAAACAATACAGTAGAACAACTGCATAGAATTTATAGTGTATTTGCACAGTACTTACATGTAAGTATCTAGAGATGAATAAAGTACACGAGAGAATGTGGATAGGTTGTATGCAAACACTGTGCCACTGTGTAAGGGAGACGAAGCTCTACATGTTTTGGTATCTGTTAGGGGTCCTAAAACCAATTCCTCTAACACACAGAGAAGTGACAACATAGTTCAAATGCATGCAGTTTTTTGTCACAATATTCCTCAATAAAAAACAAAAGTGATGCTAAAAACACAAGCTGAAATTGGGAAGTACTGATAAAGGGACATCTTGAGGTTAAGGCTCATGAAAAAATTTTCATTAAAAACTATTATGGTTCACAGATGACCTACAAAATATGGCCTTCACATTTCTCATTAGATATTTGAGTGCTTTCATATTCTGACCCCATTCAATTTTATTTTTTAATTTTCCAAAATAGGCCATCTCCTCCAAATCTTTCTGAATCTGTGACTATTACCAGTGCTCACCTGCACACCTAGACTCTGCTCCTCACACCTGTCTTACTCCAATATTCAGTCGTCACTTGTGCTTGAGAGAATACAATTCAGCATCCTCCATGCAACTCTCTGTCCTCTGCAAACCACACATTTCTCTCTATTTCCTAGTACCTGCAGTGCTCATTTCACCTTTTGTACACGTGCCTACTTTGTCTCTTATTGGCCATTTTACTCTGTCAAGTAAAAACTTATATTGTGCTGCTGCTGCTTCTCCCACCCCAGCAGTGTCACAAGGTACCGGGAAGGAGGGAAATGGTGAATGACTGCTGAAGCTGTAGAGGCAGAGCAGGATCCTGGTGAGATCACAGGACAGATCACCAACCAGAGAAGGCTCATCAACAATGTTTCGGGAGTCAACAATTAAAACACATTATTCTGAGAAGGGACATGGCACTTGGGAAACTCTCTACTTACCTGAGAACTAGACGGTGGGAGTAGGGGACATCCCTCGTAGAGACTGGTGGAGTCTGCAAAGGACAGACCTGAGGAGGAAGAGGTCATGCTGAGTATGACCAGATCTGCTGCTGCCAGCAATCCAGAAAAAGGTTTTATTTTTCTTCCTGGAAATAACAACTATGTCTCCCCTTCCTTTATATACATCAGAATCCCCTAGCCCCTTAAAAGGTTCAACTGAGGCCTCTATACCATCCTGAGAAGGCTCAGGAGAAACAAACACCAAAACCAAACTCTGCCTTAATTTTCAGCTTTGGCTCTGGACACTAAACTATTCATATGGTTCATACAGAGAAATCTGAGTTCCCCATTAATGAAGCAAGACATTCCTGCTGACTCTTCTCTGGTACATATAAACATGAGTCAAGAGCAGGGTATGAGAGTGCATGCCTTTAACCCCAGCACTAAAGAAGCAAAAACTCCTGGCTCTTGGTGAGTTTATTTAGTGACATTCTCACACACCTAATGAGAGTAAAGACATGCAGGCAAACACTTATACACATAAAATAAAATCTAACAAAAAATGTGATAAGGGAAAAATAGTAATAGATCACACTCAGGTATTTTTAAAAGGACATTTAAAGAACTGTGTTTCGTTTTAGGCACCCCAATGTAAGAAATATGCTAACTAGGAAAAGACTATTCAAAGAAGTCTAGCAATCCTGTATGGACCTATCATAGGAAACTAGGCTAGGCTACTTGACAGAGAACTTAGAAGTTCTAACAGCTGAATTCACAGGTAAGGGCATCATCGTGAAAGTACTGACAGTCTCTGGTGCTTTTAAGATCTACACACACGTTAGAGGAACAGACACTTTTCGTAAAAGGAACTAAAAACACAAGGAAACATTTGCACTCAAAATGGTGAGTTTAAGGCCACACACACTTGCACTGGCACAGGCTTGAAAATTTGCTATCTGCAAGATATTTCAAAACTAACCTTTGCGTTAAAAGTTAGAACACTTTTTTTTTTCTGATTGCAGTTTTTTATTCAAAAATGTAACAAGAGGAATATCAAGAAGATCCGATATTCTGAACTGTTGTTCCTTTTCAAATTCTCATGTCCAGAACTCAGAATTAATTCTTTCAAGTCTCTTTCAAATACGTAATTAGGTTTCTTCACCCCTAGCCACATTACTTCCTCCTCTTACTTCTCGGTTTGCCCTACACCAGCCCACTCCGCCCTGGTAATTCCCATTACCTGCCATCCCAGGAGCTCTACGAGTTCTGCTAGAACTTGGACACGTGGATATCCAGGCAGCTTCAGTTTGGGGCTTGGATGCCCCGCTCTCCTTCCAGAGTCTTACACTCTCCAAGACTGGCCTACCAGACACAGGATGCACTCTGCAGCACGCGTTTTACAGTCGCACCTCAGACTCGTACAGAGTAGCCAGGAGGTTCTGTCCAAGAGCGGACAGCACAGGGGAGGTTTGGAAGAAACAAAAAGTGAATAGGGAGCGAGCAGCTCTGCCTTGCCGCAGCAGAGACTCTGGGCGTCCATCTAGAGTCTGGCCACCCGCCCTCCACAGGGTCTGCGATCTCCTACTTCCCCAGGCGGCCAGACACACTTGTTGCGGGACACACCAGAAAGGCGGGATGCACCGCATTCAGCTGGCCCGGCCCAGAACAAAGGAACAAAGCCTTGGGGAACCCGCGGTCCCCAGCAACGCCGAGGGGAGGCGCGCCCCCTTCCCTGACTCCCCGGCTTCCTCCCGCTCAGGCCGCATTACGCAGGCCCGCAAGATGACGTCACATTCCCAAGGAGCTGGCGGTTGCCATGGTGATACCTGGACTCCAGTCTAGTGACGCTCTCCCAAGGATCCTGGATCCAGAAGCATGGGATGGTCACCAAAACTCAAGCTACGAGTTTACGCGGTGGAACTAGTCAAACACCCACCCCTTTCCACGCCCACAGTCGGCTTAGCGGTCACTTCCGGCCGGGTAGACCCTTTCCCTTGTTTCCCCCCCCCCCCGCCCCCGCAACACACACGCGCGCCTCGCCGGGGAGCATAAAGGACTACAATTCCCAGAATGCAGTGTTTCTGAATTACTTTTCCCAGATTTCCACAAATGCTGCAGTCCCTCCGTGTGGCTTGGGAGGTTGCACCTGCCTACCGTTTGTGTCCGGTGGTTCGGATTGTGAGCAGAGGGGGCTATATACAGCGTTTGTAAACAATATTCACACAACCGCAGGATTTTGGGCGGAGATGATGGGGCAGTCTCATGCTCCTCAGTTTGGTCTCGAACTTGCAATGTAAATGTGGCTGGCCTATGAAATCCAGATCCATCTAAGGATCTGGCCTCCCACACTGAGAATTTCAAAACGCAAGCGTGCATTTCACCATTCAATCCTATTTTTAATACCTGGTCTGCATTCTCATTTATATGATATTTGTCTTTTTGAAAATTTTTGTCGTTTTCATGTATTCGAAAAACGACTCACATTTTTTTAAATGCTAAAGAAACCTGGAGGAGGTGGTGGTACAGTATTTTACGTATTAAGCAGTGCTTTCTGCAGGTTTCTTTGCCTAGCCCTTGACGTACACAAAAGACCCCCAACAAATAGATTTTTTGCTTCAAAGGTGTCACCATTCAACTAAGGACTTCTGTTCCTCTCCAGTTATTTGACAGAAAGCTAAAGTGGCTCCCCTCTTTAGCTAAGAGCACCTCACCTGGAAATGATAATACTACACATGAAAAAAAATTAAGAAAAGGGTATATTTAGAGAATTGGTTGCAACAAGATATTAGATAAAAAGAGAATGCAAACAGCAATCATACTTTGTTTTTTAAAAAAGATTTGTTTTCATGTGTCTGTTTTTGTGCACATATGTGAAGGGGCATGCTTTAGTGTCCAGAAAAGGATGTGGGAGTCCTTGAAACTAGAGTTATAGAAGACTGCGTGCTTAGGACCAGACTTCTTACACTAGTTTTCCTGTTTGCTGGCTAGGAACACCTCACAGGTTTTGGTTCTGGGAATGGGGTTCTGCTGAAATACGCGCCTAGAAATATGAAAGTGACTCTGAAATTTGATTATGAGTAGAAGCTAGATGATTTACTGAGTTACAGCATTGGAACAATTATTTGAAAAGATGGATGCTATATAGATGCTAGGTTCTAGTGATGACTCAGATGGAAGTGGGGGCATGGGAGACAGCTACAGCCATCATTCATAGATCCTCATCTTTAGAGTAACAGGCAACGGCATGTCTATTTACTACTGTGAAAAATCCAGACTGGGAGACATTTGAAAACCATAATGGCAATTACAGAAATATTGTAAGAATGTGCTTTTGTTTTAATCCCAGGTGTGGGAATATGAAGCTACTTCGGACTGTCTGAAGTAGTTGATTATGATTTGCCTCATGCTCTAGCAGAGGCATGGTTTTGCCGGCTGCAGATAGTTTCTGCAACTGTGTGACATTTGGAATTTTAGGAACTTTTCAAAGGCTATAAAACGCTAGGGCACAGAGTGGCGAGGTTGTTGATGTTGGTCATTCCGGTTGGTTGTGACTGAAAGACCCCTCCAAGGGGGGGGATCATGAGGGATGCGACCCCCAAAGACACTCCAGAGACCTCTTGCTATAATAACATGAGTCAGGTTTAATAAAGGAAGCTTTGAACCGAAACGTATCTCACGTAGGAGACAGGGAATTCGGCCCTGAGATCTAACAGTTTAGGGTTTTTATAGATAAAGGCTGGGGGGGTGGGGGAGGGAAAGAGTTGTGGGTAATCACACACAATTGGTTGTTACAAATGTCTATAATATCTGTAAGCAGATCTCAGGCAGAGGTTTGATAAATCTCATGAGAATAGTCTCTGGTCCCTGTGGCCTTGGGACCCAGCGTAAATGTTTATCTGAGCCAACAGACCATCTGGCTGAATCTAATTTATAAGTCCTTGGGACCTCTGGTGGGAGTTTTTCTAGAGGAGGCTAAGTCAGACACCACGGGAACAGATTCCTGGAACACTCAATTGACCTTTGTTTCTCTGCTCTGTATCTCTTGTAACGGCCTTGGGTTAGCAAGCTAGCTGACCTATTATTTTTAACTATTTGTATTCCTGGTATATTATTTAACTAACTTAAAAAATATCTTTTCAGTGACTTGTTAGTCATTCTCAAGAAGAAATAAAAAGAAAAAATAGATCTCTCTCTCTCTCTCTCTCTTCCTCTCTCTCTCTCTCTCTCTTTCTCTCTCTCTCTCTCTCTCTCCTATCCTTCTTTCTCACCTATCTAGTGATATCGGATGAAACCAGTGGGATAAAGGGTGAGGAAAAGAAGAACCCACAAGTAGCGAAGACCAACTACAGAAAAACAGTTGCCTATTAAAGTATTTGTACCAAAAGTATAAAAAGAGCTCTTAGGAGTAGAGGAACAGGTGGTTCGGTGGTAGTTTTTGCTTATTCATGGTTTTAAACTCCAGCATCAAAATAAACTGTTTATTCTTAACAATGCTCAATAACCATCCAATTTAGAAAATAGGCCAAACCCCAAAACTTTAAACATCTCACCAAAGATGATATTTAGAGAAGACAGAGAAACATACTCTACATCTTAGTTTCAGGGAAATGTGTATTAAAACAAAGGTATACCAGCATGCTTCTTACCAATGCTCTACATCTAGGACATTGACACCAAACACTGACAAGAGTGTAGAACAAAAGCAAGTCTCCTGCCCCTATAGCAGGGATGCAAAGGACGCACCCGTTTAGGAGGACAGTATGGCCATTCTTATAAAACTACTCATGCTCTTAGCTTCGATTCGATAATTCTGACCCTTAGTATTTCTTCAAAGGAATAAAAAACTAACATCCAAAGAACATTTGTTTATATGTCTATAGTAACAGTACAAGCATGAACAAATTGTTGGATATTTGGTGAGTGGAATATTATTCAGCAATTAACAGAAATGAATTACCACACTACAAGAAAAAAATTACAGGGAAGGGCATTAAATGTATATTACTGAGTAAAAATGAGTCAATCTGAAAAAGGCTGCATCCTATATGACTCCATCCATATAGCACTGGGAGAGGGAAGCAAAGAACAAGTAAATAATCACCTACTGCCAGGTGGTTTGGGGGACACTTTGAGCAAAGGGGACTTGGGGGGCAGTGAAACATATACACAGATTTGTCAAATCCCAAAGAATGTACAGCACTGAGTAAGCCCTAGTGTGAACTCTGGTACTGATGACTTACCATTACTGGCTTATCATGATAACAAATTGCTATAGGAATACAAGATGTTAACAATAGAGAAATTGAGAAAAGAGGAGAGATGAAGTATACTGAAACTATTTTTCACTGATTCTTTTCCCGATAAATCTAAAATTGCCCTCCTCTCCCCATGTCTTTTAATATAGAAATATATGAATGTTAAAGGCGGTTTCTTAAGGTTGGAAAATACAGAACAGATAATTAGAGAAAGAGTGATGAACCTTTTGATAAAGTAGCAGGCATTTGGTTAACTATGTTATACTGTTGGGTAGAAAATAGAATTTGTTATTTAATGAGCTTAAATATTTAGCTGAGAATCCCAAGTGAGACAGTTGAGAGACCCAGTTCTCCCTCAGGTCACTGTTTATCATTCTTTAATGCAGTTGATATTGTTAGTTTCGTGTTGGGCTTGTCTTTACTGAAAACACACTTTTAATGTTTTCTGTAAATAAATTAAAATCTAAAAGTAAAATAAATTAAATTAAATTAATTAAAATCGATGTTTGATTAATGAGTCAGAACAAAAGCAATGCCTAGGACTGGGGTAACGAGGGCACACTTTTTGTTGAAACAAAAAATGTATTTATATCATGTAGCCATGTTAGTCCCAAAATGACAATTGTCTTGCTTCAGTTATCAGTGCTGGGACACAGAAATGAGTCACCACCCTCGGCCTGACAGTACTTCATTGCGAGGTCAGTTGGGTTCTGGTGAGGGAGTTGAAGCCTCCAGTCGCCCGAAGTCGCTGTTAGGACTCTTCCGCTCTCCATTCCGAGGCTGTACAGAGACTCCAGCCTTCCGTAGTTTCCCTTACACATCCCAAGATTCCATTCCTTTTTGGGCTTTTAGATCTTTGCAAATCTGACACCCCGTTACTTTTTTTCAAGCTTTCAGCTATTGCAATTTACCTTTATGGATTTTAAGGACTAAGTTTATTCATGTAGTCGTGGCCGAGTGGTTAAGGCGATGGACTAGAAATCCATTGGGGTCTCCCCGCGCAGGTTCGAATCCTGCCGACTACGGGCTATTTTAAATCTTAATTTAAACTTGCTGT